TAGTCCTTACAGCCACCGAGCCCCTCGCTGACAAGCCTTTTCGAAGTTGGGTGCGGACCCAGAAGGCTAGGCGTGTGTCCCTCTCCTACAGTATATTGAAGCTGAATCTGATCAATATGCTGGGAAAGCTGAAGGCAAAGCTGAAGGCCCTTTTCTGTACTGATGCGTTCGTTTTCTATGTATTTAATCGTCGCTCCGTCTGGCTCAGGACTGGCAATGGTCCGACAAGCGAGGATATCGAGTTTCTCCTTCACATCTGCGAGATGCGCCTCTAAATCAATAGTTGTTGTCTCGATTAATCCTCGGCAGGACTGTATGGCTTCGACGGTAATAGTAGACGTACGGCTGGGTAAGGCAGACAGATCAGTATGATGGCTTAAATTAATAATTGCGGATACTTACAGGTTCGCAAAGCTGAGAGCGACGACGATGGTGGACTTGTATCCAATAAGCTGCTGCCTAAAGCCTTCAATTCCGTTGCCGCCCCGATACGTGAGCTTGGCCCAATCCAGAAACCAAACTTTATCTTGACTGGACGACGAACTGCAGGCTTTTAACTCCTGCGCAAATTCCTCACATGAACGACGACATTGTTCTAGCGTTGTTTTGAGGGCTGAAAGGTCCACTTCAATGTCACCGTCAGGTGCCTGAGAGAGGTCTTGGAGCACCGTACTCAGCTCCGCTAACTCTGAAAGGAGTTCTCTGAGCTGGCGTGGGAGACGTTGAAAACTTTGTACGGTCTCTTGAACCTTGATGACAGACTGATGTGTAAAGGCGGCCAAGGTAAGAAGACCAGACACAAGGCCAATAACCTCAGCCATTGAGCCGATATGTTGCGAGTCGAATTGGTCTAATCTGATCAGTTGATTTTTTTCACAGCTGTTGATGAAGGGTATTTATCAGTTTATTGAGCCACAAAAGGCTGTCAAGTTGAGGTAGAACATGCCGAGAGTCAAGGCCCTCAACTAACAAGCGGGATTGCCGCGCGCCTCGAGTCTGGCCAATAATTGAAGATGGGCGGCCTTATGCGGACATGCGGCCTTCATAAACGTCCCAAGTCTTACGCCTAAACATGGAGCGCTTGTAGATGTGGCCAAGATACGTACCTTCGGATTCGGCAGAAATTGGGCGGCGCGGTATTTATAGACCTAAGACGAAATGCCTGAAGCCGTGTTGGTGCAAAGTTACAACAAAAAAGAAAAAAGTGGCCTTTCCGAGGTGTCAAGTCTTGGCCTAAGGCAGAAACTAATCTAGCCCCATTTCATATATTCCAGCATTAGCTAAGGCGCCTAGTCTATCCAATCAATAGCCAATAATTTTGCTATAATTAGGTACACGCGAAATGATGGGGCCTTGATGATCACTTGCACAACTGATTGTCTCTTTGCTAGCCTAAAAACATGGCAAGAAACAAGAGAACGAAGTTGATTTCCAGGGTGTACAACGAAGCCACCACATGCACCACATACATAGGACAACGACATTCGTTCAATAACCGCCGCAAGCCAGCAAGGCATGATATCCCCTAATGAAAGCTAGCGAATAGTTCTGGCCTGGGCTTCACATGGAGAGAGCTTTGGACAGGGTCTAGGAGCAAGGCAACACACAAGAGCGTTATTTGAAACGGTTCATCATCAGCTATCCTCTACGTGAAACAAGGAGGATCCTCGGATATTAAAGCCGTATTTCTCTCCCAGCGCTTAGATCAGGGATCGAGCCAGTCAAAGGAAGGAACGAGCCGCTGAGCCAGGCCCACAGTGGCCCCCCTAACCTAGACATGATACTTAGCAGGGCGCTTCGATGTGCGTCCGCTTCAAATCGTGTTCTACTTGACTCATCTAGACCCCATGTGCTTGCAGGAGGGGTACCCAGCTGATGTGATTTGACCCTTCAAGTGTTGGAGGACATTAGACGTGTATAGTGTATAGGCAAGCGGCAAGACGGGGCTAGAACGGTAAAGAACCTCTACCAGAGCGCTAATAGGAACCAATCGCAACTGTCGAATTGAGCGAGGTTGAGGTATTTCACCACAATGCTGTCTTACGGTTGACTAGAACATCTGAGTCTCTTATAAAACTCTTCTGTCTTTCGATTTGTGTTTCAATCAGAAATCGACTGATTACAGATATTGCAGTGGATCCTGGAAGCATCACCGGTATCGGTTTGGCAATTGTCCCACTTGCGGTTCAATCGATCAAATCACTCAAAGACACAGTTACTCGTTACAAAGGCCGCGACAAGACTCTTGCTAGGCTACATCATGTGCTTGAGGATCTGGATAACATTCTGGAAGTGCTGGAACGAGCTGTCGACTCAGAAGCATCGACGCGGGCTCTTCTGGAGGGCCCTGTCAGCCGATGCAATATCCTGTGCCGCGATTTCGAGACCGCTATGCAGGCATTTGGTGGAACGTCCAGGATGGGCTTTCGAGATTGGGCCAAGATGGAGTTCATGACGGGCGACATCAATGAGTTCATGGACAGGTTAGCAGGATATAAAGCAACGATCTCAGTAGGTCTAGGTATTATCGTTATGTAAGTCTTCTAAACCTGGCCAACTTGAATTCTATGACTAACCTTAGCTCTATTGCTATTTTAGGCAAACATCCAAAGTCTCCCACGAAGTACTTGAAGAATACAACGAGACGATCCAGGATACAATGTACAGCCTTAATGTCAATCTACAACGCCTTGATGAAAAAATGGAGCTTCTTGTCCAAGAAAGCAAAAGCATCAGCGCTTCGAATACAGGCACTGACCTAAGGGACGAGCGGGCTGTGACGGAGCAATGCCTCCGAATTTGCCAAGATGCCCGTTCTTACATCGACTCACTGGTAGACCGGGAAGAATCCCTAAAGGATCAGCCGCTCTCAGAATCCGTTGCTGATAGCGAGGCTCCGTTCGAGGCACAATTGCTTATACGCCGAACCTTGAATGAGAGTCGAGACAACCTCGCCCAGACTATTGGCCGGCTTCAGGAACGGTTGGACTCCATGGCAACAAGTGGGACGCCCAAGAGTGACCTTGGCTACCTACAATTAGAGGGAGACTTAAAAACCTCAAAGCAGTGTTTAGAGCTGTGTAAAACTGCATCTGAGCAGGTTGCAAGTCAAAAGGTCTATACTGTCGGAAAGATGATCGCTGATGGTGACAGCGATCAAGTAGTGATCACGACTCTCGCAGACCTCTTTAATGTCAAGAAGGCGTCGTCAACCGACAGATCAGCGCAGTGGATAGGATCCTTGTCGGATGATACAGCGCGACAAGTGTCTAAAGATCGGTATAGTAGTCGTTTCGGTGCTGTGGCCGCGGTTGGGGCTGGCGATGGCATTAGCACCATGCCTTCGACATCCAACACTCGCGAAGTCAACAGTAGCTTGGCACGACGACCTGGGAAGACAGGGCAGCCAGTAGCGCCAGAGGCAGTGCATAGGCGGCCTTCTGCAAATGAGATGAGAAAACGGGCGATGGAAGACGGTGATGAGAAGGAGACACGCCGATAGAACAATCAACACGGCATCAAGGGCCTCAAAGGATTGGCCCTTGATAAACTCCACGCCGAAGCTGAGCATCAATAGCAGAGTGATGATTTCCTGTATGCTATCCGAGAGGTCTATAAGTCAACTATAGATGAGGATCGCCCGCTACGGGATATCGTAGTGGAGATTGTTAATGCACATCCGGAGCTTTTAAATAAGCCAAGATGGCAAGAGTTAATTAAGGATCTTGGTCTTTGTTTCGATTTATTGATGCATTCCCGTCGCAGTCAGCCTCTGCGTTGCATGGCGAGATCTAAAATCGGCTGGGATTGTTCAAGAGCAGTCCTGTATATCATAGGCTTGATGTAAATAGCAATAAATTGTAACCAACCGCATAGCGACATCTCATGCTAGCGCATTTGCCCTGCTTACCTACTTACTCTTTGATGTTGAACTTGTCGGACATCCCGCCCTTTTTGTGGTTATTCAGGTATGCATGTCACGCCTTCACCAACATGAAGCGGCTACAGTAGACACGCTAAAAATTTAGGAGACTGCTAAATTCGCTAACAAGGTATAGACATGGTAGCGGCAAACGTCGCCAGCTCCTTGTGACGCATAGATGACATATCTGCTGCTTAGGTTGCCAGGCTTCATCGTGTCAGGAGCGCAAAGCTGCATTAAAATCCATTTTCATTTATTTTCAATCCTCTGCAGGCTCTGAGGTGGAGCCTCCTCTAGGCTCTAATAATGGGTTCCCTGTCAGCACTGACCCTTCTGAGCTACGTTCCGCCGCAGCTCCCGTCCCTTTCACTGAACTTCGGTTGTTCCTATGATGTACAACATCCGCGGCTGTCACGAGCACAGGCAACGGGAAGCTTTCATTCTGTCATACTCTGTTAGTCACTGTAAGCATAAGGTGTCAGGGACACCGACTTTTTCCTCGTCAGATAGCGGTAAGGCTTTGTCAGTAGACTTGAACTCATACTTTACGCCCTTGCGACGTATACAGACGTATACTTCGGCGTCATAAACACGGTGGATAATGAGACCGTTGTTCTTAAGTGTACTCCATTTCTTCCTGAAGTTCTCATTACTCCGGTTTCTCTTCCTTACGCGCGTACTCTCAATGACTGCCATTGTGGTTGCGGAGAAGGGAAACTGGCATAGTACTTAGCTGGAAGTTGGATATACATATGTATTGACCTTTCTCTGAACGTTTTCAAACAAGCACAGGGGTGCTGTTTTTGCTTGCTAGTTTTGTGTAACGAGGAAGCTGTTTTTGGCCCCCCTGCGATCATGCTGGGCAGCCATCTGCTTCTTATTTTAGGGCAGATGCGGGCCCCGCCAAAAGAGTGCATATCGAAAATATGGGAAAATACTGTAGGATGCCATAATCAGGTTCATAGCTAGGTACACACCATCTAAGCGCCATAAATATGGTCGTTTTTGTACAAAGGTCTGGTTTTGGCTCCTCACTGTGCACGGCATCGAAGCAATCTTTGGCATTTGCTATTCCGGGTCATGAGTCTTGAAACAAAAAGTAGGTGTAACGAATCTTGCCACGAGGCCCAAGCTTGTAATTCCCAACAAGGTGACGTAAACCACGGTTTTCAACCTGGGTTGCACGGAATAATGCACACAAGCCAGCATAGATGAAATGTATACGAACATTGTACTGATAGATTGCTCAGTGGGACATGTTGTTAAGATCTTTAAAGTGACTGGCGCGTATTGTGTATCTGCACGCTTGTGATGACGCAAGAGGGCAAGGAGCCTGGATGTGCCAGAAATAGGGTATGAGAGTTTTTCCTGTCCCAGCCCCTGTATCAAGGTATGGCTGCGCTAAGGGCCCCGCTATCAGCCCCTATGGTCCAGCAGGTGAACCCAAATTGGCGCAAACATGCCTGGGTGTCCCAACTACCAGCACGGATGCCGGCGCCCTGGTGCATTCAGTAAAACCAGTCCGTTGTATGTTGTGAGCTGACTTATGGTACTCTGGTTGTTTACCGTATCACGCAGATGAGCGTTCCCGTTTCTCTTCCCCAGCATATCAAGGGCTTAGAGCTCAATCCAGATACTTCTTTCTGTTAGTTCAAAACGTCTGCTTCTGCACTCTCGGATATTTGACATCTAAGCGGCTCTAAATGAGGAACCACCGCGCTAGAATCGGGGAGCGATGCGCTAAAGATCCAATAGAGGCCGAGATCGTGGTGGAGCAGAATGATACACTCTTTTCAAGGCCAGAACGACTGAGTCGAGTGGTGAGACCAACAAGCAATATTCTTATCTCACAATATACATATCGTTAGTTATTCTATTGACGAGTTGTTCTCTCAACTCCATCGCTCCCATGATGGTTTCCTCCACCGATGTAGCACAGGCAGCCCTAGGCTCGCATGGCGATCAGTCAGACACAAGTGGGCCTAAGGTTCATGTGTTGAAAATTCGTGCAAAGAAAATTTGTATGAAGAAGATTCGTGTAGTGTGGGTCTAAAATTCATGGACCTGAAATTCATGTAAGGAAACTTCATGCAAGAAAGATTCATGCTAAGAAAATTCATATGAACAAGATTCATGTGAAGAAAGTTCATGTGGAGAATGGCCTAAAATTGATTAAAGAAGATTCTTATAAAGGAAGTTCATGGAAAGAGAATTCGTGTGAAGAAGATTCATGTCAAGAAAATTTATGAAAAGAAAATTCACATAAAGTGGGAAAATTCATGGCCTGAAGATTCGTGGCTCAAGGATTCTTATGAAGAAAATTCGTGCAAAGTGGCCTGAATATTCGACTAAAGAAGATCCAAGCGAAGAACATTCATGGGAAGAGAATTCGTGCGCCCTAAGATTCATGTAAAGAAGATTCGCGTAAAGAAAATTCGCGTAAAGAAAATTCGCGTAAGGCTCGAAGTTTCGTGTGGCTTGAATATTCGTAACCTGAAGATTCGAACCACTTTGCACTAATCTTCAGGCTATGAATCTTTAGGCTGTATAAAGATACGAAGCCAGGGTAGAACCGGTCCAGCTGGGAACAATATACGGGGACCATCTCAGGAGGGTGCTTGTACCCTCATACTGGCACCGGACGACCTGCCGTAACAGTTCTCCAGACCTGTACATCTTGAATGGTACTGCGCTGGGATGGTACGAGAGATTCTATGGGCTGGTATGGATGTAGCAGACTACCCCGTGCCGGCCGGTGACGCTTATTAGCATGTGATCATGCCGACTTACATATTCCTTGCCTGCAGATCACTCTGTGCCGGCCGCTTCCAGTGCCGACAGTAACTTTAGCCGGTCGGCCAYATTTAATATGCTGGCAAGTCACCGTGTCGACAGAGTCCTATATCGGTACGTCGACTTGTTTGTACCAGCATGCTATCAATCAGAGGCGGACGGCCGCATTTACTGCCGGCATAGAAGGTGCTCATCAGCAGAAGCATGACATGCCAGCAAAGGATGATGGCGTGTCATCGGGAGCACAAGAAGCAGTCTGATGCGGGTACATACTTATTATGCGATAAATGTATGCCTCATCAGAGCATGTTGCGGCCGTGATTGCACTGTCGATAACGAGCCCAGGCTATAGTTGATTGATGTCCCGTTGGAGTCAACAGTGACCAATGCTGAGAAGGGCGGAAAAAATAAACACAGGCGTTAAGATCTAGGATCAAAAATTGCTTCTCAGGAGATCAATTCCGTAAAGCGAGAGAATAATGTCGGAGTTTGCCACCCAAAAGGCAGGAACTCATTTGTCGCCATGCCGGTCTTGCCAACTTACCCAACGCTGGCCAACCCTCTTCCATCCATTCCTGTCGTTGCCAAGGTCCTTCCAAATATCTTCTACTGCCACAACTGGTATACAACCAATCTTTTGGCACAT